CCTTCCGATCAATCTTTGAGGAATGACAATTCAAGCGAGATAGAGGTATGATTCACATCATGGGCAACACTCCGTTCTACGCAAAGAAAAATGAATAAATGAGAGAGTCTTATTTGTGAAAACCCTCACGGGCACCATAAGGCGATGGAAAACTGACAGAAAACTAAAATGAGAGAGTCTTATTGGTGAAAACCCTTGCGGGCACCGTAAGGCGACACTGAGTCGAGAGATGAACAAATGAGAGAGGTTTGTTGGTAAAAACCCGTCAGGGCACTGCAAGCCGAATGAAGCTCGTGATTTTGTAGAGAGATTGGATTATAGAAAATCCCGATTTCAAAGTATGAAGACGGGGCACAAAATGAAGTATGATTAGGTGAACGGTCTGGGCTGATCAATCCGAAATGCATGTCATGATCATTAGTGACAGCTGCTTCGCTCAGATAAGTCTATTTTCCCTTTTTTCCTCAAACAGTCATCCTGTTTCAAAATTTCTTCTTTATTCCTAACTCTCAAAGTCACTTCATTTCATTTTCTTTTGGGTCTACTTCTCTAAGTCTTTCCCAATGTTAGCCTTGTTAAGCAAGAAAGAAATGATTTCAAAAATTATTACCAACTGTCAAATTGCACAAAGCAAAGTGCGGCCAAAGCATACCAAAAATAGCATGATGCAAAATGGAAAATAAGGTGTTAGTGGAAGTTCAAGTGGTCAAGTGGTTTCGTGAACTTTGGGGAAATACAAAGGTTCAAATTGGAAGGACAGAAATGTAAAATAGCAGGATGAGTGTGGGGCACTTGGGTCATTCAGGGTCCTGTGGTTGAGGTTCAATCAGAAGGTCAAACAATTCTTTGCCAGTCCAAGGCAGCTAATCGAAATAAAGCATGGCAGTGGAAAGGCCACCTTCAGCAAGAATGCAACAAACTAACCACCACATTTTCAAACTGATAAGATTTTCTTTGATTGAAATAGGGGAAGGAAATTTCATTTGTTCCGGAGGAACCCTCTGTGAGGAAAGCATTTTCCAGAAAGGTTCGGCCGTAAATTTTCAGGACCCTCCTGGATAATGGGATTTAATTTAAAATTTTCAGGACCCTCCTGGATAATGGGATTTAATTTAAAATTTTCAGGGCCCTCCTGGATAATGGGATTTAATTTTAAATTTCTCAGGACCCTCTTGGATAATGGGATTTAATTTTAAATTTCTCAGGACCCTCTTGGATAATGGGATTTAGTTAAGTTTTTAAGACCTTCATCGATAATAAGATTTAGCGTAAGTCTTACCTTTAGGAAATAGAATTTAGCTGTGAAGTTTTTACTCTTAAGATGAGATTTAATTTTAAATTTTCGGGGCCTTCCTGGATAATGAGATTTAGCTTTTAAATTCTTAGAGATCTTTTTGGGTAACATGATTCGATTAACACTCACAGATGTTCCCAGTACCAAACTGGGTAGAAAAGTTCTTTTGTTTTGTTTGTTTTATTGTAATGGTAGGCGCCCACTTGAAAAACAAGGGAATACTTTTCAAGTTTTGGCATCAGGCGCCCACCTGGAAAACAAGGGAATACATTTCAAGTTTTGGCATCAGGCGCCCACCTGGAAAACAAGGGAATACATTTCAAGTTTTGGCATTAGACGCGCCCACCTAGAAAACAAGGAAATTCATTTCAAGTTTAACTTGCAGGCGCCCACCTGGAAAACAAGGGAATTTATCTCAAAGTTTAAGCATCAGGCGCCCACCTAGAAAACAAGGGAATTATTTTCATGTTTCAGCATCAGACGCCCACCTGGATAACAAAGGAATTCATTTCAAGTTTAAGTTGCAGGCGCCCACCTGAAAAACAAGAGAATTCATCTCAAAGTTTAAGCATCAGGCGCCCACCAGGAAATAAGAGAATTCATTTCAAGTTTCAGCATCAGGCGCCCACCAGGAAATAAGAGAATTCATTTCAAGTTTCAGCATCAGGCGCCCACCTGGATAACAAGGGAATTCATTTCAAGTTTAAGTTGCAGGCGCCCACCTGAAAAACAAGGGAATTTATTTCAAGTTTCAACAATAGGCACCCACCTGAAAAATAAGGGAATTCATTTCAGAAGTAAGCTCAAGACAACAACAGGAACCCGCCCACCTAGAAAACAAGGGAATTCGTTTCATGTTTCAGCATCAGACGCCCACCTGGATAAAAAAGAAATTCATTTCAAGTTTAAGTTGCAGGCGCCCACCTGAAAAACAAGGGAATTCATCTCAAAGTTTAAGCATCAGGCGCCCACCAGGAAATAAGGGAATTCATTTCAAGTTTCAGCATCAGGCGCCCACCTGGATAACAAGGGCATTCATTTCAAGTTTAAGTTGCAGGCACCCACCTGAAAAACAAGGGAATTTATTTCAAGTTTCAGCATCAGGCACCCACCTGGAAAATAAGGGAATTCTTTTCAGAAGTAAGCTCAAGACAACAACAGGAACTCGCCCACAGAATGAGGTCAATTCAAGCTAGGAATAACAGAAGCTCGCCTCAAGAGTGCGAGTCAACAGTTCGAGATGCACGGCAGAACTGCAAAAGTTTCAAGATCAAGTTTTAAGACATATAGATAGGAATCTTGTAACTCATAGATCATAGATTAGTCTAGCTCCTTTTCAGTTTTGTTTCGGTGTAATAAGGAGTTCAGCAAGCAGTAGCAGCGGCAGCAGCAATGAAATTACAGCTTCTCGGTTGTCCCAGCTGCCAAAACTTCCAAAACTATACTGACCTGATTCCTTTATAGCCAAGGATATGTAGTCAACTTCGGAAGTAAGGTTCGGTCAGATCTTTCAAAAATGCTTCCCATAGAGTATCCAAGCGGGCAAAAATCGCTCGTATCCGCTCACTTTATCTTTGTCCGAAAACTCTTCGTGTTTCCGAGCAAAGAGGGGCAGCTGTGAGCACGTGATTTTTTCCCTATGTGAAATACTCCTACAAATTAAAGAAATAGATTTTTCCCAAATTGTTTGCAATTTTATAGGGATTTTGTAGAATTTTGTTAATTGTTTGTATTTTTATGCACGTCTAATTATGTTAAAATCATGAAAAAATGTCAAAAATATCATGCATTGCATTTAAATTTTGTGTTCATATTTAGGATTAATTATGTATTAATTGCTTTATTTAAATAAAAATCACAGAAAATATCTTTCATTTTATATTTTAGCCTTTAATGCCGATTTAGTAATTTTCTTTTCTTTAATTTAGGATCAACTAATTTTATAAATATTATAATTAGATAATTAGTTTAATTTTACAAATATAGATTAATTGAGGATTAAATTTAGAATTTAATTAATTTAGTTGGGATTTTAAGTTAAAGAAAAGCAAAAGGAAAACAAAAAGAGAAAGGAAAATGGGAGAAAGATTGTGATTTAGGCTATTGGGCCAAGGTTAATTTTCCCGAGTTCAATTCCCAATTCTGCCCAAAACCCCCTTTCCCTTTACCCTCCAGGTCCATTCCCTTTTACCCGGTCCGGTCTTCCCTTAAGCACCAAATGATACCGTTTCATTTAGTTGAATACCAGCCGTTGATCTTGTGTGATCCAACGGCTGGGAACTAACCTTTATCTTCCTTATATCTGTCCGAAACTCTCTTCAACCTTAGATACCACCGTTCGTTTTCATCATCTTCTCCACCCCTTAACCCTAGCCGCCCCTAAATCATTACCCCCACCGGCCGGCGGCCACTTCGCCGAACTCCTTCAAATATTGACCACAGAATTCCCATCATCGAGCTGCTACAATTGCTTCAGCGGGAGCTGCTATCGGTATTTGAAACGTCCTTAGTTCCTAGATTCATTCTGTGGCACGAAATCCATACACGACACACTTTCTATATCTCCTCCGTCTACAAGGTAAACATGTTAGCTTAGAGCACAACGTGTTTGCCACCACACTGGCTGGCTAGTGCATTGGCCTTACCGTAAGAAGTCCGAGATCGATATATCTCATGACACGCTCCGCTTTGCTAAAGCTAAAAATGGAACTTAGCTTCTCACTGACTACATCAGAAGCGAAATCCTCAACTTCAATTACAATTCCATTCACTCCAAATCCACTATTATTTCCTTCGACAAATCACTCATCCTCGCCGAATCAAAAATCTAAGAGATAACAATAAAGTCCTCTTTCCGACTTCCTCCTAATATGGCCTTTTATTGATTATAGCATGCATGGTCATGCTAATTTCGATGTGAGGAGTCATTTTGAATGGGGTTGCAATTTGTTGCATGATGGCCGAGTTCTGGGTAGCCAATCTCCGATGAGCCACTCCTTCGAACCTCTACTTCCTTTTCGTCTTGGCACATGTTGAGGACTGTGACATAGAGCACTAGCCATTGAAGAAATTCCGGCCAGTGCTCATGTTACAATTCCCACCATTAGCCGAAGTCCTTTCGCCGGATGTTATCAACTCTGGGTCATCGATCTCTTTGTTAGACCAACTGGTATACTTCTTTTCCTTTTTTATTTTTACTCTCCATCTCATTTAGGTTTAGAGCATATTAGTTCATAGTTGACTAATTTGGTAATAATAGCTTAGTAGTACAATTAATCTCTTGTGTTAGTACATTGACATTTTGATTTTTTTTCCTTTCCTTTTGCTCCTTTTTCTTTCTGTTTTTGCTTCTTTGGAAAGTTTGATGTCAGTTAAGTTCAGAACTTTGTTTTTCTGGATTTCTTGTGAGTTTGTTCGTTTTGGATTTGGAACTGGGCATGCTAGTGCAAGAATCCCAAAGAGAATACTGGGGCTTGCTAGTGCAGAAGCCCAAAGAAATTTTGGGCATATCGGCTCAAATGTCTGGTATGGTTAAAGTAATTAGCAAATCTTTTAAGGGGTAGTTAGGAGATTTGAATGGGAGGAATATTTCCTAACTATCTAGGAAGTTTCTAGAAAAGTAAAAAATGGGTGGTTTAACAAATAGGCTTAAAGTTTGGGGTTTGAAATCAACAAAAGAGAATTGAAGAGAGGTAATAGTGAATGAAGAAAATCAAGTTTTGCTGCCCTAAAATATTTCTATAAGAGATTCATTTTCCTCATTCTAGGGAAAAGGTCTAGGACAAAAGAAGAGAGAAACAGCTGGGTTAAAAATTCTACAAAATACACTCCATAACACATAGATTTTCTGGGTTTTTCTCTTTGAAATCTCGGATTAGACTTGGTTTCTGGGAAGCAATTCTTGTTGTACTGTTTTTGTTGATACTGCTCCACTCAACTTGGCTAGATAGTTGACTTTCTAACCTTTATTTGATCTATTAATTGTTGTTTTCTGCTCATAGGTATGTAAAATTTTGCCTATTAGTTTCTTTGTCACAATTATGAATGAAGTTTGAACTATTAGATGTCATTTGTGTTTGATTCCTTCACTATACTTTATGGCAAGCATGTTCTGTATAAACTTCTGTTTCGACACTCATCTGATCTAAATATGTTGGTTGGATTTGGCTTTTAACTCGTTTTACACAGCAGCTTTAATGCCATATTTTTTTGACTTGTTGCTCTTTCTTCAAAAGTGATTTCTATCTTTGTCCAATTTATATTTAGGTAAAGATCATGCATGAAACTACTCATTAATAATTTCATTTTTTTAACGACTCACCATGTTGGTGAGATCCTTTAGTTGTCGCATGTCTCAATTATTCCTTCTTAAAGAGGCTAGAATAGATTTAGACTTGATGTTTATCAAAGCTAATTTAAGTATTTGAATGATAGTTATTGATTCGTTGATTGCAAGCTTGAGCTATATATGTTCTGTTAAACAAATTTACGGAAAAGATACTGCTGGAAAATAATGGAAGGAATCTTGGTGAAGGGTGATTATGCAAAGGCTTTATTAGTTGTTTCTTCACGAGAAGTTTCAATAGTTTTAATAGGAATTCATTGGTTAATGTAATAATTTAAGTTTATTTCTTTCTATCTTATTAATGTATGAGTATTACTGTATGAAATGAGGGTTATGAAATTAGTCAGACATCTCACATGTTTACTTTACCTTGCTTCAAGTTGAGTAAAAACCTTTTCGCTGATTCGTTGCTTTTTTGGGCTTTTGTTGCGAATTTGTTATTTACATGATATATGGCAAGATAGGGAAGATGTAATTAAGCCCATTCATGATATAAGAATTGTATTACTTGCAAATACGGTAGTAGAACTGATTTTGAAGCTTTGACTAAGAATTTTAATAATTAGTTGGGATAAGTGTAGAATTTTGTTGTCATTCTGCCTTAGGAATAGTGTAAATGGAGTTAAAGTTTAGGCTTATTAAAATAAGTAGGCATTGGGAATCGATGAATGATTTCTCTGTTATGGGCCAGCAGAGAATTATCTAGGCCAAGACTAATCAAACGAGGTAGCCTAGTTCAAACCAGGCTTGGGAGTGCCTCTGTCTTCTATTTCTTTCACTTTGGGCTCAATTTCGAGCCCAATTGCCTTTAGTGATTGCATTCATTAAATAACGTAGCAGGCCTCCTGCTGGCCCAATATTTCAGAATGGTTAAAAGCGTGTATCAACTTCTAATGCCTTAGCTATAATCCATGGCCTGTCAATAAACCTCAAATTAACTTAGGAAGTAAACATGAACATTCGTAGTTTGCTTTAGGCACGTAATTAAATCATCACAACTACCGGTACGATTCCCGTGACGTAGTTGTGATACCTAATTTCAAATTAGTTTTAAATATGAACATCCGTAGTTCGCTTTAGTTGAGTACAAATCTGTTGAAGTAAATTGAGGCGTGCCATTCACAAATGTATCCCATAATCTATGGCCCTCACATTAATACCAAAGCAAGTGTGGAAAAGACTCGGAACATTCATAACTAGTGTAGAAAATATTTTGAACATTCGTAGTTTCCTTTAAGCGCATTTATAATAAAATTACCATAGATACGGGTACGGTTCCCGTGATGTAGTTGTGATACACAAATTCCAAATTCGGGGGTACCTTTATGTGACCCGGCCACAACAACTAATAATGTAAATAATTTAAACATGTTGTAAATCGTGGGTACGGTTCCCGTGGCACGATTTGCAATGTGTACCAAACAAACAAGTGTAGGACAACCGTGACTTGTTCCAGAATAATTCCATAAACAATTAAAAGCGGCAGAAGGAATAAAATGTACAGTAGATTTAAAGTATGTAATTAATCAGATAATTAGGCCAATAATATTAATTGAGCGACCGTGCTAAAACCACGAAATCCGAAAATGCCTGACACCTTCTCCCGGGTTAACAAAATTCCTTATCCGGATTTCTGTGTTTGCGGACTGTAAAATAGAGTCAAACTTCCTCGATTCGGTATTTTAAACCGGTGACTTGGGACACAATAAATTATTCCAAGTGGAGACTCTGAATTTGAATAAATAATCCTATTTCGGTTTTATCACTTTAATTGAAAAAACTCCCTTATACCCCATTTGGGGTAGAAATAGGAGGTGTGACATTCTTAAGTCTTACATGAACCATGGAGTATTTGGAAATAAGTTGGCTGACCTAGTTTCACGATAGACGTCATCACAACCGGGTCGGTTTTTGGGTCGTGACATCAATTAACCCAAGTGTAGTTGCCTCTCATAGCTCTCATAGACTATAAGCTCTAGCCTAGTACTTCAAAACAAATTCTAATAACTGTTTCCCTACAAATACACTTCTCAAAAATAGAATAAGTTACAATTAAAGAACAATGAATAAAGACCTAAACAACTAGAAACTTCTTCTTCAGTCAGTCAGGTTCTTCAGTTGTGCAGCTTGAATCTTTGAAAGCACCTTATTGTCGTGATTGCTATTTGTCGTGAGTAATTTTGTAGTAAATCTATAAAATAGCTATCACAACCCAAAATTCCAACCAATCAGGGCCGTGATGGAGCCTAACACTGCTCGCTAGACAAGCCAACACAACAAAGAATACGAAAAGAAATGCAATAAATATCTGACAACTGATCAATAAAATATCGTTAAAACAGCTTGGTGATAACATAATAAAGTTCTAAAACTAACAGCTAACAATAACCACCCTAGGATTTGGTGTCACAACTACATAAGCTTCTAGATCCAACTAAATACAAGGTTCTGAAAGAAATGCAACATCGTCCGAATAAAGTGAAAACTGCACAATAGAGGTAATATAATGACTCAAGGCCTGCGGACGGGATACAGCTCTACCTCGAATCACCAGTGTAGTATCTACTAAGCATCCCTTTAGGTTCCACTGGTATCGATGGCAGAATCTAAACAATAAGTGTAGAAATGTAGTATGAGTACAACCAACCCAATATACTCCGTAAGTGTCAAGCCTAACCTCGACGAGGTAGCGATGAGGCTAAGACAAGACACCTGCAATAAATCCCCCCCATATATATATATATATATTGGAGATAGATTTATCATTTGAAAAGAGGAAAATATAAAGTCCTTGTCTAAAGAAATACGTTGAGAAAGGGCAGATGTATAGAACCTTTCAACGAGATGTGTTTTTTCAACTATCTCAAAATGGAATCTATTCCAAATGTATATGACATGATTCCATACTTCGACATGTACAAATGTATGTATGTATGTATATATATATATATATATATATATATATATATAAAAGAATAATAAGTAAAGAATTAAATGAATCACCAGGATGTGGGCAAGTACATGGGACAATAAATGGAACTGTAAATAAGAATCATGAAGTAAACTTCTTTCCAAAAAGAGCAACGAAATCACCAAGTCAAAATTCACATTATCAAATATCAAGTAAAAAGTGAATTCAACAAACTCGTATGACATCAACATTCGTGCTTTTACTCTCTTCCTAACCATATCAGATAAATGCAAGTGCACAACATTACCTTTCATGCTTTTACTCTCATCCTCACATGATCATAATAAAAATGTAAATGCACAATATCACCATCCGTGCTTTAATCTCTCATGATATATAAGCATGTGCACGACACCCTTCGTGCTTTTATCTTCACATTCACTGAATCAATGATATTAATATGCAAATGACGCACAACAATACCCTTGTACTCTTTACTCTTCCTTACCAAGCAACAACAAAAACACAAATATCAAGCAAGGTGGGTGTCGCGCCCCCTTTTTCTCGCGAAATCGGGTTTATGACATTTGGGAGGACAACTCGTTCCCTTGTTGGGAATTGGGTTTGAATTGAAGAGTCGCCACCTAATGATTAAAGTGCATTAGGACACCAATAAGGGTTTGATTTAGAAAACCAGAGTTTGGGTAAGGGCTAGAAATTATCCCGAATGGAAGGTGTTAGGCACCCCTCAGGATCCACTAGTGTGGTTCCCGGCCATGCTACAATTGTGACTTCAAGTACAAGTAACAAGTAAGCAAATAAAGGTTTCAAATATGAGGGATATTCACATTATGGATGCAAATAAATTAAAGTTTGAAGAAACAAAGAAAGCTGAAATTTTGAGGAAATAGTTTGAAAATTCTGAAAAGTGATAAAATAAACAAGTAAAGGGAAGGGGGTCCTACGTTTACAAATAATATGCATCACATCAATACAATACCCGATAATCACTCCTCATAAGAGGGGCTACACGCGGTATTAGCGCACGGGTCATCATATCCATATATACCCTTTTCCACCCCATTAAGGTATTAAAACGCGGAATAGTTTCGTTACTTATTGCATGCTCTTACCCGTCCCAATCCTATCAGTCCCTGAGGCATTTGGGACTACTAGTCCTAAAGGGAAAGGAGATTGGGTTTTTATGGTTTAAAGGACAAAATCTAGGGCGACAAACAAAGCACATAGAGTAGATATGGGAAAACACATAACATTTAAAGGCTCAAACAGGCCTCCTCAACTTAAAGACGGATTGTTTAGCATGTCTTGCATGTACTGGTTATGGTCTGAATTAAACTTAAAAAACGTTAAAGCAGGCTGATTTATCACATATTTTCAGATATGAAGTCCAAATTAGGCCTGCCCGCTGGTTGTAATTATCAAAGACTGGTGTAGTTATAACCTTTACCCTAAAGCTTGTCTAGGTGAAACCTATAGGCATGATATCTATGTATAAAAGAAATATACTGATTTTAAAGAAAATGACTTATTAGTTGCAGGAACATAAGTTCTGCAAATATTAAGCAACGTTACTACTGATTTTTAGACTTATAAGCGAGATAGACGATTCAGATTCGGTTGATTACTCCTATAGGCATGCTTTCTAAGCGTTATTGATTTTAAAACGTTTATAGTCGAAATAAAAAAGCAGGAGTCCTATAGGCATGGTATCTAAAATGTTGTTTGTTATTAAAACCTATGAACACGTTTGCCTAGTGATAGATGCATATGCAGAATTCAAGAAGTCCTATAGATAGGTTATCTATATGATATGCAGCGTTATGAAATGTAGAACCTATAGACATGTTGTCTAGACAATACAGAAATGCAGAAATTTATAGACATGGTTTCTATATGAAAATGCAGGACCTATAAACATGATTTCTATATGAAAATGCAGAACCTATAAACAGGATTTCTATATAAAAATGCAGAACCTATAAACAGGATTTCTATATGAAAATGCAGAACCTATAAACAGGATTTCTATATGAAAACGCAGAAGTGAAAGCAGGACATGATTGCAGAAGTATAATAAATACCTATGAATATGATATCTACCCCTTTTGCATGCATGATTTACCCTCCCCTTTTCACTAAAACCCCATAAATTATTACAAATTATTACAACCCAGAATAAATAAGAAAAGCAAAATTATATCAGAAATTAAAGTACAACCAAGGGGAACCTAATTTAGACTCCAGGCCTGAAATATCAAATGAACCAACTCCAAAGATCAAATTTCCAAAGCCTTTCTCTTATTTGGATGTGTCAGAGTTCCCTAAGAGCCTCAAATGGACTCCGTGCAATGCTCACACCCAAACACATACAAGATTAAGAAAATAGTGCAGTGTGGAAGGGTCAGCCCTCAAGTATCCAAGTTCAGAGGGAACTCAAGGTCCCAAAGCAAGTCTTACAGGAGGGGGGCAGA